GCTAAGAAAATCCTGAATCATTATTCTTTCAAAGCAGCAAGCCAAGCTTTTAAAACGGTTCGGTATACAACAAAAAAAAATCAGTTAAACAAGCAATTCTACGCGGGAAATGTGAAACTGTTAGGCTAAGGCCAGTGTAAAAGGCGTGACAGAGTGAACCCGAATCCTTCTAATTTTCAGCTTTCTTGTCTTCCCAAAAACGCCTGGAAAAAAAAAAGAAAGAAAAGTTTTCAAGTTTCGTGTTCTAGCAGAGACATAGACAGATCACCAAGAAACTTTAATCTTTCCTCCACTACGGCAGAGAGGGAAAAGAATTGCTTTGCCTTAGTCACATTGTGTTTTTTAACTTTAGCTTCCATTCAAGTACAAGGCGAATGGGTAATTTTTCACCCTGGGTGACTCCGTTTGCATGGCACAAAGTGCCGTTATCCTGTGTTTTTAAACGTCCTTGCTTTAAAAAGAAAAATGTAGGCAAAGTCTTTGGTGAGACGATTCATTTTACAAGAAATTTGTTAAAAGAAACTTCGAAATGAAGTGAAAAAAATTTCTGTGAACTGAAAATGGATTATTTCAAAATTTTGATAAATATGCTGTACTGGAAAACATTAAAGCGTGTTTAGTAAGAATTGTGATAGAATTTATAGCTTGCTTTTTAACAGAAAATTTATTTAAGTAAAAGGGTTGACAAATTAAAAATAATGGACAGGTTTAATTAAGATAACCTTTACTAGAAATTCCAAGAAAGGGCGGTGTAATACTATGCTTATATGGTCGACAGATTTTGGTTGCTTCTATAGTCCTGCACAGTTTCCTTCACTTCTTTCGTCCGAATGGAATCTTGTTCCATATAATGCTCTTTTAAGTGGCCCAATAATAATTTAAATAATTATTAATTTGATTAATTAATAGTTTAATTAACTAATAGTTTAATTATTTAACAATTTAAATTTCATATGTTTACTGGGAATAAAAATAAAAAACCGAAATAAAAAGTTTAAAAATTTACAAAGTTAAGTTTATAGTTTTATATTTAGAAAAAAAATTTAAATATCCACATTGTACAAAACACTTGTATGCGTGCAGAACGAAAACGAAGAATATTTTTTTGCTTTTCTCGAGTTGGCAACGATGAGCTAAGGCATAGTGAGCTATAAGCTACACAGAAATAAAAAATAAATAATAGTAAATCACTCATACAAATAAGGAAACTAGACTGTAGGTATTTTTTTCATAATTTCACTTAATCATTTACGCCTGTTACTTAATAATCTACAGCTATATTTTAATTTTAATCAGGTTTTGTAATTTACGCTGTTATACTTTCCATACACTCATTCATTAAAAAAGTGTTTTTTTTCCGATTAACTAAACTTATAAATGCATTTAAAGTAAGAAAGGAGAAATTTAAATTATTTTAAATCCTGCTCATAAATTAAATGTTTGATTTATTGTCGAGAAATTGATTTTATTTATTTTTTAAATTTTTTGATCATTAAGATGAAAAAGAAATCTTTAGTTAAACGAACGAAAATAAAAAAGCTAATAATAAATTTTTTTAAAGCTCAAAATGAATTCGAATATTTCAGTTTTTATTTTTTTACAATTTGTAGATATTAAGAGATCAATTATTTCAGACAAATACTCTTTTTTCTCTTAAATTCTTTGACTTGAGATTGACGTTACTAATTATTCATTTTTATTTTAAAAAAGATAAACTACTTAAGAGATGAAATACTAAATATTTTTTAAGAAATTTCTCGTTAAATTGTACATAAATAAGCATAAAAGAGAAATTGTTTTCTGAATACTAATCTAAGTTAGTTTCAAAGATTCTATTATTCTAAGTTAGTTTTATTACTGATAAGATAATTCTAATAAGATTCGTAATAAAATGTAAAATAAATAATATGGCTCCATGTTATCAAATGGCTATTAGACTTAAATAGTAATTCCCTAAGTAATAGTAAAGCTGTAAGTTAGAATCTGAAAAGCCCATATAAAGTAGTCATCTTATACACTGTATTACTTTTCGGTTATCAAGCTGTAAGGTAATTTTGCTATTTAATTTTATTTTTATTGAATTTTTCTTCTCTTTTATTGAATTTTTATGTGTTTTAAAAAATAAATAATATAAAAAAATGTTATTGGAGGTCTACATATATCGGCGACTTTTCGCTTGATTCATGCTAAACGAAAAGTACCTTATTTGTTAATGAGTTTATTGCGTTGCAAACTATTTAAAAGAAATGGTAATGCTTTTAATAGTTTGGTAATCTGCATTGTAAAAAATATACTCCCATGCTTATTGTCCCAAAATCGAACTTCTTTTCTCGTGCTGGTAACGAAAAGCTGTTACAAACTAAACAATATGTTGGGTAGAAATTAAACGTTTGAAATGTCAATGTTAGTAAACTGTTCCTTATTGTTATTTTAAATACACTATTTGCATATATAAGTAACATAATAATAAGGAGTTATATTTAGTTTTAATGATACACGAGGAAAAAATTCTGGTATGGTTGAGTAATGACATTTCTGGTCCAAAAAAAAATCTTGTTAATAAAACCGAAGTATATGGTAATTAAACTCTTCATTTGCTATTTTTTTCCGTTCATATGGTAACAGTTGCCTGGAATTTCTTGTTTACATTTTGGAAAAAATACAAAACTCAAAAGTAAATCTAACCAAATAACTGGTTCTTATGCAATGCTCTAAGATATCATGATGAAGAGTATAAAATCATATTTTATTTTTAATTTTAACAAAATCATTACCAAAGCACTTCCATAGAAATGAAATTTTCAGTACACCCATAGAGCTAGAAAAATGGTTAATTTTACCATTTTATAAAATATAAAAAAAAATCAGCACTAATTACTAACTATATTGGTCAATATTTACTTTTTACTAATGCATGCTACAATTACTCACAGTTTATCTCAACTTTTATCTATTAGTTACAACCTATTATTAATTATCGACTGCATTATTTAATACCAATAATAAAAGTATAAAACTAAGTTTTCGTTAATCAACATAATTAATGATAGAAAAAAAAATTGCGTGTCTCAGCAGGCATGAAAAAAAAAAGGAGCATGAACCATATATTAGAAGAGAGATTTACAGTAACACGTGTCGACCACATCTCCATTACTCTGCAGTCAAAAGAACAAGAAAAGGCTCTGATATTGATTTATTCTGTAATCTTTCAGTATCTGCTGAGATGTCAACGTGGTTTTTCTTCATAATGTGTATGAATGGACACGCAAGTCAAATAATGGCATCCATGCAGAGCTTTGATGTATATTAAGGTGTCCGAAAGAAACCCAACCGGTCGTCGTTCTTGTCGCCATTTTCTTTTTTTCCTTCTATTTCTTTCTTTCGCTAAATTGTTTCCACAGAGACATTGTGACAGCAATTATGAAATGTCGTGTATTTCATTATGCATATTTTATTTATTATGGGTGGTATATGAAATATGTATTGCGGTATTACGAAGGTCAATGTTTTTAATGAGATTGCTTTCTATCGAATAGGTTCGGATTTATCCGGAGAACGGCTTTAATTCAATCGAGGTTTGTTTCTGATAAATGTGCTATTAAATTGTTTAACGTATTTTAATTTATGTAAGTTATTTCACAAAATGGAATTAATTTCCTATATTAATATAATAAAGTTTAATTAAGTGTTATTAAATAAACTCCTGAAAAGTATCTCTTAGTTTGTTTCAAAACTCATTGACGTTAGGGGGCATTTTATTTAATTTTGAAAGTGATAAATAAAATTTTAATGAATTTGTGTATTAAGCATAAATTTGATAGCGAGTGATATTTTTATGAATTTGTATTATATTTTACACCTGCACTGTGATCGATGCGTGTCAGGAGCAGAATTCGTATCAAACTGGCACCACTGGGATTCGAACCTGGGTCACTTCACCGGGAGGCAAATGCTCTATATACTGAGCTACTGCGGATGCTAAGTTATAAATGATAACTAAATTTAAATCAGTTGATTGAAATTATTCTTGATGACTGATAAATATTGAAGCAGTTATCAAAAATATTTGTCTGGTATATTCCATCCTTAAAATCTACTTAAAAATACTGAGTTTTCTGTTATGATGTCTTATTATATGCGAATTCATGCAGATTTTTGAAATAATATGATTTTTTATTTATAAATTAGCATTTTTAATTTTGTATTAAGGCTAAATTTTAACTGAAACAATAAGACATCTTCCAAGCATTTTTTTTCTTTCTTCATCATGGCAGTCGACCTTATTTCACAGTAATAATACTTGATTAATTATTTCTCCCAAATTAGGTTGAAACATTATGAAATATGTGGCATTAAATCATACCTTATATTCAATATTCCAGTGACCGCATTCAAATTTTCATGAAGCTTTCACGATAATGGGTTTTAAAATTATCTTTTAAATAGATCATAAATCACATAACTGTTCGAGTGAAACATTGACACGAATGGTTAATTTTATTTGACGATTCGCCCGTTTTTGAAAGCTACTAAACCGTTTCATCTTACTTTTTTTTCGAGAATCTCATCAAAAAAGGGTCACCCCTTTACCGATTTCAAATAAAGTGTAATATATTTAACTCGTCTACTATTTTTCCTGACATTATTCTTTTTCTAGAAGTCTCTCGAATGCAAGTGTATAATTTTGCCTACGAATGAAAGGTGGAAGGTAGTACGGCGACATCATTTATCAAAGGGCGTTTAAAAGGCCGTTTAATTCGGCTAGAGAGCGATTATTTTTATGGGCAGTCGCCTCGCCGGGCCGTAAAAGGGAATATTTCACCCCCGAAATCGACCACTTATAGGCAGCGCCCGATACTTCAATTCTAACGGCCTCAGTGATGAGGGGGGCAGGTGGAGTTTTCAACGCGACAATTTATTTCCGATTTATGGAACTAGAAGATTCCCGTTGCGTTACGCTTGAATTGGGCATGTATTAGGTTCACACTTATTTATTGCGGATGGTTGTATACGATCATTCTTGCATAGCATCATCCGGTTTTTCAATTCACGTGGGTATGTCGGATGAGTGTGGAATACGTGAGTTTTTGAATGTTGAAATATATTCTTGAATTGGAAATTTTAGTTTTATTTTTGAAAAATGACTTTCATTAAGTACAAAAGCTTTCTTTTTTTTTCTTCTATAATAGCTGAAATATACTCTATGTGAAATTATTTATTTTGTATTTTTATTGATAAAAATTTTTTTTTTTAAATTTTTTGTAAACATAGTGACATTTGAAATTGCATTTTGAAAGTTCATTGCAATGATTTATAATCATATTGAAAATTTTAATATGTACACTGAAAAAAAAATTATGGATAAAATTGCTGCTAAATGTAGATGGTACTTTTTACAGTGAAACCAATTTTTACTGTATCTGATAAACCGTAATTTTTACAGTAACATTTATTATAAACTCACTGAATCACTGTAGTTAAGCAATTATTATTCTAATTATGTGATATAAAATTTTACGGTGAAGATAGATTTCACGATTAAATTAAATTTACGGATTATGCACTTCGGACTCCAGTACCTTAATTTGATCCAGAACTTTTTGTAGTGTTGAGAAAAGGGAGATAAAGATTACTAGGTAAAATAATTTTAGCATTTCTTAGTTTAAATCAAAGGTTCCCGAGCTTTTTTTTCTCGTGGACCACTTTCAAAATTTTACTATTTTCGGCAGACCCCTGCTACATTTCTTCTGTATTCCCAAAACTCATAAAAAATATCACCCTAAATTGGGGGTGTTAAGAAAAAAAAAAAGTAGCACATTTTCTTGTGTCCTATTTATTAAAATATTACTTGTGGTTATACAAAATTATAAACATTTATTATTACAAACAATCAACAATTGACAAAAAATCAACAATGAACTCTGAAATGTAAATCAACAATATAAAACAGTCATACTTTTAATGAGACGGATGTACTTGATGAATAGACAGCAAATTATCAATATTTGGTTTCAGTTTTGTAAGAAGTAATCTCAAATCTCCCCGTTCTGTGATGTTCAATCTGCTCCCTTTTTTGTTAACAGGTTGGTAACGGCACTAAAACTTCTTTCGACAAGATATGACGAGGGAAACGCTATCAAAAATTTTCTCGCAATTTCCCACAGTCCAGGATATTTTTCGGGGATTTCTGCCTGCAGCCAAAATGTTTGATAGCCTTTTTTAAATTTCACCTTCAGTTCCTCGTTGGTGATGAGCTCAAGTAGCTCCTCTTGTAATACTACATTCACCTCTTCCGTTTCATCAAACGGGGTTATGATCCATGGTGGTATTTCCATCGTCAGAATATCTTCAAATCTATTATTGAAGTCATCAAGCAGGGTATTTAAATGCGAGCGGGCGCACGGACGGCACTTTGCAAGTCTCGANAACTTTTTTTTCTCGTGGACCACTTTCAAAATTTTACTATTTTCGGCAGACCCCCTGCTACATTTCTTCTGTATTCCCAAAACTCCTAAAAAATATCACCCTAAATTGGGGATGTTAAGAAGAAAAAAAAGTAACACATTTTCTTGTGTCCTATTTATTAAAATAATACTTGTGGTTATATTAAATTATAAACATTTATTATTACAAACAATCAACAATTGACAAAAAATCAACAATGAACTCTGAAATGTAAATCAACAATATAAAATAGTCATACTTTTAATGAGACGGATGTACTTGATGAATTGACAGCAAGTTATCAATATATGGTTTCAGTTTTGTAAGAAGTAATCTCAAATCTCCCCGTTCTGTGATGTTCAGTCTGCTCCCTTTTTTTTGTTAACAGGTTGGTAACGGCACTAAAACGGCACTTTCGACAAGATACGACGAGGGAAACGCTATCAAAAATTTTCTCGCAATTTCCCACAGTCCAGGATATTTTTCGGGGATTTCTGCCTGCAGCCAAAATGTTTGATAGCCTTTTTTAAATTTCACCTTCAGTTCCTCGTTGGTGCTGAGCACAAGTAGCTCCTCTTGTAATACCACATTCGCCTCTTCCGTTTCATCAATTGGGGGTTATGATCCATGGTGGTATTTCCATCGTCAGAATATCTTCAAATCTATTTTTGAAGTCATCATGCAGGGTGTTTAAATGCGAGCAGGAGCACGGGCGGCACTTTGCAAGTCTCGACATGTGGTGTACACTTGTACTATTATCTATTGTTCTATTCAATTCTGTGTTTAAACTGGGTCTGAAATAGTTTTGAGTACCTACCTAGTGAATGATGCTACCTGCCTACGTTGATAGGTAAATCCAAGACAAAAAATTTTTTCTTTATTATGAAAACCGGAAAATTTTTCATGCCCCCCCTTACAACTTGTAAACCCCTGTTTTCTTTTTACGTCTACGTGGACCCCCGTGAGGTCTCCCATGGACCCCTGGGGATCTACCTGGACCACTTTGGGAACCTTGGTTTAAATTAACAACTATTGTTGATTCTAGCAAAAATGCTAATAGAACTAATGCAAGTGAAATTATCAGAACAGATAGGAAAATGAATCGTTGTTATTGATAATTAATTGAAATCATGCATTCTACTAAAACAGCTGCATTTTTTGTTCTACTAAAAAATCCTTAACCAAACGGAACGGGAGAATGCAACAATTAAATTATTATGCATATTTAGTGTTATGCTATACTCAATAAAATAACAAACTCTTTCACTCGAATTATATTTTTAGGCTTTTTCTTCTTTTTTTAGAGAGAAAAACCGTTGACTGTATAATTTAGACGCTACAAGAAAATAAATATGCTACTTAGGTTTCATTGAGATAATTTTTTGGAATAAAACTGTTATTGAGTCCGCTTAGCTATTTTCTTGTGTACGTGAAAATTCTTTAGAAATGGTGAAACTTTTAATACTATTCTTGAACATCATTTAATTCATATTTTATCTGGAAGACATATAACCCACGGCATATTTAATGGTATTAATGTCGTCTTAAATACCATCAATATTAATTTTCTATAGTTTTAATATTTAAATAAAATTCTAAGCACACTTCACTACATAAATTTCAAGAAACTTTCATAAGTATTATTATTCTTAGAACTAGCATCGAGACAAGAACATCGAGACAAGAAGAAAATTAACTATTTCTTAACGAAAAGAATACTTAAATTTCTTTTATGAAGGAATATAAAATGTAATTTAAACTAAAACTGAGACATATATTTCAAAAGAAAAGTTTTAGAATTTCCTTTTCAATTTTCTCTAATGACTTCTGGTGCTTATTTGGATTCACTCCAATTGGCTATATAAGACCCCTTTCTTCATAAAATTTATTATTATCCTTTTTTCTATTTGATATTATTAACAATAAAAATTGCCTTTTCTATCTAAGTTACTTTTATGAAAACTAAATGATCTAATGTAACAAAATAAAAACTGATATAGTTTGAAGATTTCAAGACAACTTTAATGAAAGTTATTATTATATTCATTTTATAATAGAAAAAAATATTTATTTAATCTAGTATATTTTGAAGAAGTAATATAATTGTTAGCAAAATGTGACTTTTTGCTTTGTTTTTAAATCCGTATAGAGTAACTGTAGCTTTTCAAAAATTTCGATAAGCATTTTGGGTAATATTTTCAATAATATCTCAAGATATTTTGGATAATATTTTTAATAATATCTATATTTAGAAAGGTGTGCTTTATCATTATATTGCATTCATAAGCCTAAGAGTATATGGTTTATAATAACATTAATTATGAGCCATAATAACATTATCATAACAACATAATAGCATTAATAACACAAGAACATTAATATTATTACCATGGCTATAATTACACAATAACATTAATTATGGCTAATTACTTGTTTTAACAAAAGTGACTTATTTTCGCAGTAGGCAGTTTATTTGTTTGTCAAAAAAAGCTTTCAATTGGTAGTTTGATTTCTCGAGTTTCATTAAACTGTACATTAGATTTAGCTGGGGGACTATTTCAATTAGAAATCTTTAATTAGGGTATAATACCTTAAATTAGTCTGTTTCTAAAATAAAGCAATCGGATTTAACTTTATTCTGTTTGTCTTTAATTAATTAGTAAATTACATAGCCTGCATCTGAAACTTATCCTTAATATTTTAATTCAAAATTAAGTTGGATCTAGCTGAATTCACTGTTACGCTCTTCCTAATCATATTTGTTTCAAAAATTTATTCTATTTGAAATCTGTAAAGTGTTATTCCTTGAAACCATTTACTCATCGTCCCGTAATCCCTAAATATAAAGATATTGCCTAAGAATAACCTTCACATAACACCTGCAATCACCTGTAAGAACATAACAGCGAAATTTGGAGACGTTTCTAAAGAGAATATATTCTTTTTTATTGCCTCTCTTCTTTCTTTCCTTACAATCAACGTTTATCGCCTAATCCCTTAAAGTTTCCAAGAGATTAACCAAGTATTTCGTCAAAGTGTTCCCCGATAGCTTAAATTTAAATCGTTGACTATTGGGCGAGATAATCGCATCTACTACCCCTGCCTCATTTGCATGTCATTAAGAGTGCGGAAACTTTTGGTAGTTATGGCGCAATGTGACACTACGGCTTAAAGCCAGAGTAAAGTCGATTAAAGAATATCATTTTGGTTAATCCCGAAAAGACGTGAATCTGACTTATCGTTTTCTCAGAAAAGAAAAAGTAAGTTTTCTCCTGGAATCCTCCTTTCCCGGTGAGGTACAAACCGGATTAAATTTTGTTTTAAGTTATGGATTCTGGGGGTATTTTCGAGGAGCTTTAATTAGCGACGACAGTTCAAGCTCAGCGAATATTCATATTTTCCTTGCCTTTTATAGTCTTACCTTTATTGATCTAAGTCTTAATCTTCGATAACTTATTAAATATTGACTGACTAACTTTAAATATAATAGGGTTATGAATTTTTACAAAATTGTAACTATTTGTTAAAATATAGTTAAAGGAAATTTATAGAAAATGTTAAATAAAATGAACAAAACCAGTTATCATTAAAATATTTAAGTAATTTTGAAAATCTTTTTTTTGTTGACGATATGACATAATTTTAAATACAGAAAAAAATGCATAATTTTTTTAAAATTCTTTTAATTTAAAACTTGAGTATGAAAATGTTGGTGACTTGCTTGATCTTCCTATTTTTAAAAAAAAAAATTTAAATCTGAATAATCAATTCATTACTGTTTGAAAAATCTATTTGTTTTCATAGTTTTGAATTCCTAATAGGAACAAACTAATAAAGAAATCCTTTAATATATAAACATGTTGAAATATTTTAAAGATTAATGTAAAAAACTCATGCTTAAAAATAAAATGTGCACACTCGCTTGAAACAACACACTTGATATCCCACGTGCATTATTGATATACGTTTTAGATTGCTGATCTTTGCTTCGTTACCTAACATCACTTGGAAAGCCAAATTTGGATAAATTTCATGTAATAGTTAATTACAGGAAATTTATCCGTATCTTTATAGCTGTTTCCCGTCGGTCATTCCCGTTTTACCCATATGCATTTACTGAAAAACAGAACATATATCCATTTGTAATAAATAACAGGTCGACATTTCCATAAAAAACTGAATACAAAAGATTCAAACAATTGAGGAATAAATTAATTGGCAGCTTTTATTCAGATATTTCATCCCTGTTTGGTTATCCTACACATCGCAAACTTATCAATTTTATAAAGGGCATTGGGACTATATAAATTTTTTTTAAAGAAAAGTGTAACTCTTTTACTTAGTGACCAGCGCAGTACAGCCATATATTGCTATCCAACCAACATATTTAGCCAATCAACCAACCAGATAGAAATGCCTTGTAAGAAAATTGAATTTTTAATTTAAAACCGCAAATTAGAAAACTTTTAATTAAATCAAGTAAAAATTAATATTTATTTGTTTATACTTAAGTTATTAAATTTCAATTACTTAAAAAAATTTAAAATATTTATTTTAATTCTCATTATAAAACCAGCAAATTTCTGGACAGAAAATAGAATACTTTGTTTAATTTTTGAAGTTCTCTTAGGCATTGACTCGTGGGCACTTTATTTCTGAATTTTTTTTTTAAAGTCCATGATAATTTGATAGTTCTAAATAAAATCTTATTCGAAACGTTACAAATTGCTTTAAGACCGCAGCGAATATTATTATCTTTAAATTTTTTGTATCATAGTATCAAGGTTCAAGACCAAATCTAACTGATGATAATCTTTACTTTTGACGAAATATTCATGACTGCTTTTCGTCATATTTCTTTATCAAAATATGCTATGAAATGGGAATAATGCATATTCAGGATTCATGGGGAATTTTTATTTGTTGATTTATTATACTTGAATTCTCTGATATTTTACTGGCTTATTTTTTCCTGCTACCTGATACGCAGCAGAAGACATTGTCTTCTAAGCTTACTAGTCAGCAGTGCCATCTTTTAATGCTCTTTGTGACTATTTTTACAATGTCGAAAGAAAAAACACCCAGGTTCTAAAGCAACAAGCAGACTGTACATTTTTTATTCATTTATGTAATGTTTTTAATTGTTCATTATTTACGGTCTCATGGTTTATTATTTCATAACTGGAGAATTACACTGAGAAAAATATCATTTAAAATTGCAATAGTCCATTGAAATTTTTTAGGAAAAGAAATTATTGTTTATAAAACTAAAATGAAATATATTTAAACCATTAACTTGGTAATATTTTTCATTACATTAACATGTAACAGTTTACCGGAGATTCTGTATTTTTTAAATTTCATTTCTTATTACGACACATTTAGTGAAAGCTGCAAAACTGAAAAATTAATTAAACCCAATATAGTGTTTGTTTACCATGCTCTAAGGTATCATGATAAAATTAACAAATTTTCCCATATTTACCGAACTTTATCACAGAATATAAAACCATATTTTACTAAAATTATTAGTATGGAGCTTTGGTAAAAATTACAGAGCTTTTTGGTGTTCCTATTCCAAATGCACACGATAAAATTTTACCACATTCTGGTAGGTTTGACCATATTTTTTTCTTCGTACATTCTCAGCCGGAAACATTTTCTATGAAAATGTAACGTATTGACTAAATTTAATTATTCATAATTTAATTAATATTTTACCACCAAGATAACACATTAAACCTGCTGAGATATCTAATATACCTTGCTTTCATCTCACGATCATCACACACCAGGAAATAAAATGCTCACATTTTCATCCACAAGATTCGAAACAAAAGACTGTTTTGATTAATATTCCAAGCAGCAAATTCAGCTTTTTTGCAGGACTCTCGACATACAAAATCACATTATATTTATTCTTAGTGTAATATTTTGTTACAAAAAGAAACTTTTTTCAACTGGATGACTATCTCCAGCGAACATCCATTGGATGTGGTCTGTGTCCTAATCGATATCCTCTTCCTTCCTTGTATGGCTCTGTATCTCCCTTAAGCCTATATCATTTGTGGCCATAATGGGCTTCCATGCTTCCTAAATCCGAGTCGGAAATCCAGTAGTAATAGATAAATCCGAATTTCTCATTTCCCTTCCTTACTCTATTTCAACTTGTACATTTTATTTACTCGGAACTCAACCAAGTCTCGTAGAAAGATCTTTTCTTCTTTTACTTCAAATATCGGTGATAAAGGGGTGGAATAAAAACCTTACTATTTCAAGAAACGGTAAGGCTAAACTGATTATAAAAGTTCGGAGATGTGTACCAATAGAAGGAATGTTCATGTTTATGCATCGAGTTAAATTATAGATTCACAGTAAAAATTTTCGGTGTACAGTTGTCGCCATTTTTGGTGTTGACGTTAACAACCTTTTTTTACAGTTCTCATTTTTTATTTACTTTTACATTGTGATAGTTTAATTTGTTTATTGGTTTTGTGTATTCATTTTTTCGATTGTTTGGTTTCTGACTCCACATATTTTTTCACGTATGTTCGAATTGATTTTATGGCTTCAATGCAGAAATATTTCGCTTTTAAAAAAGCCCATTTTAAAAATTTGTTCGGATTTTTTTTTAGAAACATTATTTTTTTGATTTTATAAATTTGACATGTTATTTTGTATAATAAATCGGATTCTGTGCTTAAAAATGTATCTAATTTTACTCAGCATCAAAAAATTGTGTCAACTATACACAACGGAATTTCTTACAGTGTATAAATTATAACATACATTTCTTTTAGAAATATAATATGGGTATCAATGGTGTGAAACAAGAAAGCTAAGCATTGTTTTTAATCTTAGTAACAAGTGCATAAAATTTGGATTATTATAAACACGTCTTATAAAGTACTAGGAAAAAATTTTAAATAAACAGAAAACGAATTTCGCTCTTGCAAACAATTTTTTTATTGTACTGCTTTTTTAATTCTCATCCAGCTTGTCTACTTTAAATAAAGCTAAATTCCAATAGGGATTAAACAGAAAGTAAAAATAATGAACTTGAAGGCACATAAGATTTTATTTTATTTTAGACGAATAATATATTTTTCATAGCGACAGTCATTTATGCATATATATATTGTTCGATTTTCATTTTTTTTCCTATAAAAATTTACTACATTAGACAATCCCTAAATTAATTAATAGAATTTAACATCAATCATTTTAAAAACTATAACACCAAAAACGTATATAGAAGCCATTGGTATAATTAATAAAATCACAAAATGTTGTTTAATAATGTTCCGATATTTAAAGAATCAATTCAAAATAGTCTAAATATTAGCTGATAGAATGAGTGAAAAAAACATTTTGAAGTTTAATGATATGAAGGCCGTTTATGTACACGTTACCTAAGTAAAATGTGAAAAACATATGATTCCATTCCTCATTTTAATTCATCAACTTAACTAATCTGAATATTAGCTATGTAATGTGCACATTAATGGCTTTCGAATGTTAGCGGTTACATCTTGAGAGCAGATGTGTGAAAATATTACTCTTCTGATTTGCCACAATTTGTGTTGTTTTTATTTTAGTTATTCTCACACAATTGCTAGGTTGTTGCCAAAACTTGACAACTATTTTAGCGCAATATCTAATACAAAATTCTTCCCTTTATAGTCTTTATTGTCATTAAATGTTTATGGTTAAAATATACAATATTTATATATATTGATCCAAAGTATTCTAAAAGTTCTTACTTTTGTAAATGCCCAGTGTTTTATAATGTATTGGGTTACATTCAGAAAACAAGGAATGCTTCTTTGAGTAAACATTGAAAAGAAAGTTTAAAAAATACATAAGATGTGTAGATATGGTTTNTTCTTGTGTTACAGGTATGGAGTTTGAGCGAGTATGCCCTTTTTTATTAGCTGCATTGGTAGCCGTATGCTACAGTAACTCTTTAAATTGTGGTTTTGCTTATGATGACATTGCAGCTGTAAAAGAAAACAGGGATGTCAGACTGCATACACCCATTACAAATGTTTTCATGAATGATTTTTGGGGAACGCCTCTAAGAAAGGTAAATATTAAATAGTTTTATTTGACTGAAATGAGAATATTAATCAGCTTTATTTAATTTGGAAAAAAATTATATTTCTACTTCCATTTCTATTGTGCTTTTCTGTGTCAAGAAGTTTTCATTTACAAAAACATCTCGGTTGAGATTTTTTATAATTTTAAGTCAGTTTTATGAATGTGGTAGCTTTGTTTTTAGTATCCGTTTAGGTCTAACTTTTATGCATATATATGAATCTAATACATATATGCCTCTGTTCTAAATTGTTTGTTTGCAATTTGTTTTAAATAATTATTTTATGATAGATTTAGTTGGATGAAATGAACAATAAAATATCTAAAAAAATGCTATAAAATATATGAAATTTGAATAAACATTATTTCCTTGATCATGTTATTTGAAGGTTTTGCAAAGGATGATAAAGGAAGCCCCAGTTTAATAACTTTACACTTGAAACAAATCGCTTCATTTAAATCATACATACAATCTTGTAATGAAGAATTAAATGGGCCTTATAAAGCATATATACCTTAGATATTTAAAAAATATATACCAGTTTTGTTTAAATACAAATTAGACGAGATTGTTTTCTTCAAGACGAAAGCCCTTAAAATCAAATAATAATTTTATATTTTCAAAAATTTCTGCATGGCCAGTCAATACTATCATTAGACAATACTGCGTATCTATTCTGAATTTAAAAAATAAGCTTTTCGTTTTTAGAAAAATGTGGCTTTCCTTTTTGTTGATATTTTGAACGATTCTGAAATGATTGTTACAAATTCACAACAGTTATAGAAACAGCGTAATATTCACACACAAGTTTTATTTCCTATGATGACAAAGGCTTTAGAAGCATTATTTATTGAAATTGCACCAATTTTTCATTTTCACGCGTAATTTTATTAAATCCTTACTTCTTTCGTTTCAAATCCAGAAAGTGCAGCAAAGATTCAAAGTTGCTCAAAATTTCAATTTTATTTTTATAAATCAGTAGCAACTATCATCCACTTCAAACAAAAAATTATTGCTGAATATTTCGTCGAGAAATGTTTTCGATAAACACCTACTTAATAGAATTTAGAAGTGTTTTGTGATAGCATTTTGAAAATTCTATTTTAATTCGAGACACACAGAGGAAAATCTTTTCTATTTCGCCATTTCTCTACAAGCTTCCAAATAAAGAATGTTTGCCTCGTATTCAAAATATTTGTAAGTATTTTATATTCTGTCAGAAATATTTGTTTATTAGTAGTTAAAGTAGCATTATAAGTACTAACATTGAACATATCTTGTAAATCTATTTTCGAAATCATTCCAAAACTCTTTGATATTAATGTTTTCGTTGCACAATCTTCTGCTTTGGCAACTTAGAATTATTAGCTGCTTCATCTTGCTGTTTGTATAATATTGCGAAATTAGTACGCCATACGTGATTTGAATTGACGAAATAACAATCTCAATTGAAGATAAAGGGGAAGAATGGTTTATGTCCACGAAACCTGATTCTGAGGGGGAAAAAAGCAAATTTCAAGGTTTGGGAATGTTCAGGGGCAAATATGCGTTTGAAATCGTCAAAATATAAGTACGCACGAATGTCACAAGCATTTATTTATATCCCCAAGAATTCTGAAATAAAATTTATAATTTTTCATGTTTAAAAAATTAAGGACTTGTTAATATTGGTGGCAACGAGAGAGCAGATAGATTGGCCAAAGAGGGCAGTGAGGAAGATATGCCCACCGGGTCATCACTTACTTATCAGGAACTTTACTCCAATGAAAAATATAGACAAAAATTAATCTGGCAAGCTCCACCTACGCACCAATGGTACCTGGCACCGTTCTGGGAATCAATTGCGATCGAAGCTCCCAGACTGCCTTGGCCAGATTCTCAACTGGTCACCTAAAATGCGGAACATTCGAACGTGGCACAAAAATTTAACCGACTTGTAAAAAATGCTGCATCCAACCAGCCTCACCGAAGCATATACCTGATTGCGTCGGACTGCCCAGGGCAGACATAATTTCCGATCCCCTTCTTATCATCGACTTTCTGGCTGTCAACAACTTTTTGGAGTTGATCTGATAATGTCAGATCTATGAGGATAAGCTACAACAACAACAACAAAAAAAGTAAAATTTGAAAATCGGTTTAGACAATAAGTTTCTTCCTCAAAATTAATTTCTTATCAATACGTCCGCACTAGTATTTCCGTCACTAATATTAACTAGTGTTCACTTCTTTGTTCTTCTTTCCGCCATCTCCTCTTTTTGCCTTCTGATGTACATTCAAAATATCTGGAGTTTTCATAAAATTCTTGTGATACAGACTGTAAATATCGATGTTTAGAAGCCTTTAGTGTCATTAAGATTTCTCTTGAGGACGATTTCCTTCTGCGTTATCTGTGCAGATGCCACATTAATATCGTTTTTCCTTTCCTTCCATCCCCGTGAAAACCTTACGTGAAAAATTTCATGATAATCTTTTCTTTTACTTGACATTGGATTTTATAATTTATTAATAGTATAGATATTAAAAATGTTAAATAAACCAAGGGACTTGGTTATAAAATCTAAGATCCTGTAAATAAATGGTGCATATAGTAATTTTTGCTTCTTGCGAAAGTTAAGTATTTTACCTCCTTTCCATAACCGCAGTGTTTGAATAAGAACCATTCCTTCCAGACACACAGATGTTTATCATTTTTTTTTCTCACCACGAATCTACTTCTTATAATCACTATTTTACTGTGTAATAACTGTACTGTATAATAAATACTGTATAATAATTTACTGTATATGTATTGCTTTATATTACTGTAAAATAACTCTCGGGGTAGAACTGATTTTCCTCGTTATTGGTGTGTCAAAACTTAGTAATCCTTAAAATGCAACAAATGGCAATCCAATCACAATTTTTTGTAAAATATGGACATAAACCATTTATCTCTCCATGATCTTTAAATGTTTTATTATCTTTCCCATTTCTTACTGTGTAAGAAATGTTGGGGCGTGTTGTGCACCACAGTGTTGTTCAAATTTACTACACCCTTAATATGTTGCTAAGTTGAACAGAAGCTTAATTCAATTATAGACTTTGTTCTTCTTTCTGCTGACTTTGCAACATATTATGCTCTAAGTACCGATCTTATGGTTCAACGATGAATCGATTTTTCTGAGACAGTACTCTATGTTATATTTATTGAAATTAAAACAAAGATTTTCGATATGAACTGCATCAATTTCTGCTTAATTTTTATTTTGCTAAGCATTTACCATGTATATATATATATGGCTTGAGAGGTACGTGAAGATAACTGCCAGACAGATTTTAAATTGTTGCAAAAATTCAGCACCTAAAGAACTTTGACAATATAATGAACATCTCTTGAAAATAATTAAATTTTAAATCAAAGTACTTTCCCGAGAGCAAAACCGAGGACAACATCTAGACGGTGAGAACTTTGGTTAATATATTGCTTGACACTAATTGAGTTGTTAAGATTGGAAGAAGCGTTGAATAAATTGAATATTTAAATGCAGTTGAGCTGTGCATCCGGCTTTGTTACCATTAATGTGTATATGTTGAACAAGATATTTCTGAAAGGTGACCAAGATGATAGTTACTAAAAAGGCAGTTTATTTTATTTTCTTATTATAATCTTTTTATTTTTTGTAAACGTTAAACAAGGCAGTAAATAATCAATCGGTAACAATCAATACTGCGAAATCAGACATAGACATGATAGGCAGATACGATCGCAATTGAAATATATATATATATATATATATTCCCATTTTTTAATAACTTTATGTATTTTATCCAAAAAAAACTATCCGTTTTTATTTATTATTGTTCATTTGTCTGTTTACATTATTAGATTAAGCAAAGTACAGCTATACATGTTCAGTTCCTAAAAGGTAAGTTACATAACTCAAGCATACTCAGTATTAATCGGAACTGAAAATTCAATTTCTATAGAGCGCGAATAACTCCTAATAGTCCAAATTTATTTCAGGGAACCACTTTTTTAAAATAAATTTTCCGTTTTAGACCATAACTTTCTTTTTCTTTTCAATTTGCACTATTTAGTTTCATAGAAACTCGCTTTAAAAGTGAGACAATTAACAAATACAGTAACAAGTGTTTTGCGTTTACAAAGTTTGGGTTGTCGAACTGGTTTGTCACATGAAAGCGCTGTCAAGAAACATAAATAATTTGACGAGTATTGGAGCGTTGTTGCTGAAAATCGAAGTTCAATGGGAAATAATCAATTAACGAATTTACAATTTTCGATCTGTCTTCCCGATAACATTTATATGATTTTACGCGTGATTGTATTATCGGTAAGATTGAAAAGGGCCGAAAAGTTGTGTTTCAAGGATTTGTAAATCCTTTCTAACAACTGGGATTTGTAGCTGGCATCAGGGAGGAGATCGAGTTCCATTTACGGATCCTGAAGAAAACAGGTGCATAGTGCTATTGTAAAAACTTAACCGGTGCAGTACTGCCAGCCATGTAACAAATCATTTTACATTTTGCTACTGGCATGTGATTCACCCGAATAACTACAGCCTTAATCCTGCAAGCAGGACTTTACCATTGTCCAGACGTCACCGTAGCATTATTGCAATGGAGTCTTCAGCATGACAGTTGAATCAAGGAGAACTATTCTTGCACACTTTTCTCAGGTAAGAGTAGATTCAGTCTCTCTTCTGATTGTCAACCGCAAATGATCTAGATTGAGATTGGTATTGCATATAGACGAGCAAACATATAGGAAAGGAACATATATCATACATGTTGCGTCATGGTAAGGGCTGGCATTATGATTAATAGACGTACGCCCCTCTATGTGCTTCCAACTGAGACTCTGACTGATCAACGCAGTGTTAATGATATCCTGCTGCCTTATGTTTGCTTGTTCCATGGTGCTGTCGGTGATGAATTTGTTTTTATGGATGACAATGCAACATGTCATCGAACAGTCACTGGTCAAGGAGTGTGTACAGAATGAGGATATTCAACGTCTCCTCGTTCTCTAGATAGGAATCCCATTGAAAATGTGCGAGATGCTCCGGGGAGGAGTGCTGTTGATTGAGAATGTCCTGAAATAAGCAAGAACACCTTCTTCCGCTCACTGACAGAGTAATGGAACAAATTGCTCCATCAGCTGCTGAATACTGTTGTCCAAAGCAAACCATAACGTCTGGAAACTTGCATCACTCCTCATGGGGGTCATACCCCTATTGACATCGTACTCCAAGATTCCTACAAATAATATTTGCATTTTTTTCCTTTTTTATCAGTATTCAATAGTATTTACACTCACTCCTTGAATGCGTTTCAAATCTTTTGTGTTTCAGAGCACAATATATTATCTTCCATTAAGGCCCTAACATTCTCACAATCTGGCATTCTTTTATTTCACTTAGCATTTAACAACAACGCATAATCTTTCATGCGCTACGCAGTCATTTGTTGTCGGTCCTAAGCAATTGTCCAGCAGTG